CTCTCTCTCTCTCTCTCTCTCTTTCTTTCTCTCCCTCTCCTCTCTCTCTCTCTTTTTCGGTTTCTCTTCCTCTCTCTTTTCTCTCTCTTTTTCTTTCTTTCTCTCTCCCTCTCCTTTCTTTTTCTCTTTCTCTTTTTTCTTTCTCTTTCTCTCTCCCTCTCCTCTTACTTTTCCCCCTTTCTCTCACTCGCCTCTCTTTCTTTTTCTTCTTTTTCTTTTTCTTTTTCTTTCTCTCCCTCTCCTCTCTCCCTCTTTCTTTTTCTCTTTCTCTTTCTTTTTCTTTCTCTCTCTCCCCCCTCCTCTCTTTCTCTTTCTCTCTCCCTCTCCTCTCTTTTTCTCTTTCTCTTTTTCTCTTTCTCTTTCTCTCTCCCTCTCCTCTCTTTCTTTTTCCCCTTTCTCTCCCTCGCCTCTCCCTTTCTTTCTCTTTCTCTTTCTCTCCCTCTCCTCTCCTCTCTCCCTCTTTCTTTTTCTCTTTCTCTCTCTTCCCTCCCTCTTCCTGCTTCCCCCGGCAGGGAACTACAAAAACCACAAGCTGACCCACAGCGGCGAGAAGCAGTACAAGTGCAGCGTCTGCAGCAAAGCCTTCCACCAGATCTACAACCTGACTTTCCACATGCACACGCACAACGACAAGAAGCCATTCACGTGCCTCACCTGCGGCAAAGGCTTCTGCCGGAACTTTGATTTAAAGAAACACGTGCGGAAGCTGCACGACCCGGCCGCCGCCGCCGCTGCAGCCGCCGTGCCTTCCTCCAAAGAGCTCTCCAGGACCGGACCAAGCTAAAAGAGCCCCAGCCCAGCACCAGCCGCTCGCTCGGCAAAGGCCGACGGAGCAGAGGGTCTTGTTCGGCCAATCAAGACTTGGAGCGACCGTGAAGGCCGGAAAAAGACCAGAAACAAAAGCCCGAGAGAAGGACCGGTATGCGTGTCCAAAAAAAAAAAAAAATGTTTTAAAAAGGGATACACACATACATGCAGACATATATGTATATATGTATGTGTGTATATATATACCCTTGCGAAAAGGAAGGAAGGGGAGAAAAAAAAAACAATTTAATACTCTGTTGCTGCTACGGATTCCAGGCGGGTTTCCAGGACTGTAAAGACAAAATACACCGGCCGACAAAATATGTATATAGAGGACTGTACATTTAAATTTTAATGTCCACTCGATTAATTAAGGAATATATCACCTACCAGGCAATAAAAATCGCTTTTAATGTGAGTCGTATTTCCAGGTCCCCTCCTCCTAGACCTACGGTTTTGTTTTTATAAAAAAAGAAATGATACAATTCTGGTCCAATTTATGAGTAGTAATAGTTGTAATAGTGGACTGCACAGTTCAACCCTTAGAGATGTTAGTAGTAATAGCAGAAGGATCCGAAGCTATCGCCTCCCATCCACAAGGCCTGGAAAAGAAAAATCTTCCCTTTTGTATGTACGCCCCCCCCCCCTCTCTCTCACACACACACACACTCCGCCCCCTGCCCCCCAACTCCCTTTTCAGGAGAAGTCGTCGTCCCATGAAGCGACTCCACTAAACAGGAGTGGAGTTTTCGAAGCAGTCGCGCAAGACGCCGAGTTCGCGTGTTAAACCCGGAGCAAAAGGCTAAAGAGGAGCGGCCGGGCCTGGGATGGGGGGTTTCCCAGCAGAGGATGGGATTAAGATAAACCTCCTCCCTCCCCTTCTCCATAGGGGACTTTGGAGCAGAAGGGGGGGTTCTCCCAGCCCTCTGCTGGAAAAGCCCCCCCTCCTCACCCCTTCCTCACTGCTCTATTGAATGGGCCGCTTTCGGATCTCACTTTAAAGGAAACCGAAGAATTGGCGAACCGAGATGGGGAGAGGCTGGCGGAGAAACGAGGAACCAAAGGACCGCTTGCTCTCGTCTCTCAAGAGCGCCTGGTTGGAGCAGGCCTCTCTCCTTGCCTCGGGCAGCCACCAGTGCGTAGTGGCCAGGGCAGGGCGGGGGGGGGCCCCCCAGCGGCGGCCCTCCCCCCCCCCCGCACCCCCCCCCCCCCGCTAGAGAGTCCGATAAACCAACCTTTTGGCATGGGGAGGTTGGCAGAGAGGAAGAAAGAGAGAGAGAGGTTTCGCAGCCTCGCCTTATTCCCCCTTCAACTGGGAGTAATGTGAATAGCCCGATTTGATTACGCATTGATTTGTTCCACTACGGAGGAAGTCAAACGTTCTGGCTCGCAGCAGATCACCGGCGGCAACCTGCGATCGCCAAATTGGGGCCCTCCCTCCCTTTCTCTGCCACTCCCCCCCTCCCCCTCCCCCAGGCGTCTGCCACCAACACCCACCACTAATTCCTTCCCTGGGTGGGTAGGTGGGTGGGTTGCGGGGAGGACTGTGTTTTTGTTTTTATTTGGGTTAGAAAAGAAAGAGCTTCTCAGCTAGGTGGCATCTTTCCATCCGTGGTTGGGGAGGAGGAGGAGGAAGGAAGGAAGGAAGGAAGCGATGGGAGACGATTATTCTTTAAAGTTGGATATTCATCTCGAAATTAGAAGCTATAATGTGCCATCTTCTGGTCTCCCTCAATCAAACTTCTTTTTGTTTTTCCTCCCTTAAAAAGCGATTTCCCAGAATGTATGCGTGTGGGGGGGGGGGGTATTATCATCTTCATCCTCCTCATCCTCCTCGCTGCTGTCCCTTCTTCTAATCCCCGGACGCCAAGGAAACGATCTCATGCTTGCTTGCCGAGTAATGACCCAAATTAAGAGGGGAAACACAGACCCTCCAAACCTATTACATTAATCGTGTAATCATCCACAGCAGGCACCAGAAATGTTCATTAAAATAAAAAAAAAACCACCAAGAATTCAAGGGGTTGGATTAAGGGGAGGGAGGATGCTTGGCTGCTTCTGGTTCTTGCCGAGCCTCCTTAATGCGTTGATGTTTATTCCGCCCACAAGATCAAGGCAGCGGCGCCCACGCAAGTTCCCGTCGCTCCTGCCCAGCGGCCAAGGAAAGGCGGGGAATTAAGCCGGACACCCTGGGGTCCTGGGGACAACGTCCTCGGGACTGGTGCGGCTTCCCCTCCGCTTTAATGGAGTGCTTAACATGCTGAGAAGCGCCCGGGTTGAAATGAAGGAGGTTGCTTCCGAGCAAGCAGCAGCAGCCGCCGGCAAGGCCGCTTTCGCTTCTCCCACCCACCCCTTTTGCTACTTTCTTCTTGGCGGCTCTGCGGTAAGTCACAAAATAAAAGTTTGTGAAGCCTGTTCAAGAGCCAGGCCTGTCTCTCTCTCTCTTTCATGCAAAACGAGCCAGACAGACAAAAAGCCCAAGTTAGCACAAGTGAAAAGGGAACACAAGTACGACAAAGCTCCAAAGAAACACAAGTAGACAAAGCTCCAAAGGAAAAAACAAACAAACAAAAGTTTGATTGGGCAGGGGTGGGATTCAAATTTTTTAACAACTGGTTCTGTGGGCGTGGCTTGGTGGTCATGTTATTGGCTGGGCGTGGCCAACTCAATATCACTCACATCGAGGCATGCATCTCCTCGCCCGGCCTCTCGTGAGTGTGAAAAATGGTCATGTCACTTTTTTCAGTGCCATTGTAACTTTGAATGGTCACTCCACACAAGCAAAGTATCAGCAAAGGAGAGGGGAAAAAAACTCCAGAGAGTTCCAGAGACAGGAAGTCTAGTCCTGCCAAGAATGTAATAAGGGTTAACGGAGAGGCAGTTTTTGTAAGCAACACCAGAATGTTTCCTTCCTGCCTTCCTTACAGGATTAGTCCAGTAATTTCTTCTAACAACCGGTTCCTCAAACTGCTCAGAATGTTAACAACCAGTTCTAGCAAATAGGTGCAAACTGGTAGAATCCCGCCCCTGTGATTGGGGCAGGAGTCCCCAAATTTGGCAAACTTTAAGATGTGTGGACTTCAATTCTTGGAGTTGAAGTCCACAAAGTCTTAAAGTTTCCAGGTTTGGAGACCTCTGGATTAGAGAAAGGAAACACACTGGTTTTGAACAAAAATACTCACCGGGGTTAATAATGTGGAAGTAATCATGCCTGAAAATGCCCACCAGGATAATAAGGTGGAAGTACCTCTGCCTATCTTTATCTCCGTCTCTTCCTTCCTTTCCAATGTTCTCATTTTCAAGATAAAAATGCACTGCTCTGCAAAGCCTCGGGTCCTGCAACATTGTTTTCTCCTCCTGCTCGTACTTAACTATTTCTCTTTTATTACAACCTTAGGTTCCCATCAATACCTCATTTCCACAATGAAATCTTCCCAAGGTGGCCTCCTTCGTGGCTAATCTCATTCACCCTTCATTTCTCACCCTTCGTTTCTCATTTATTGGCTACCGTTATTTACAGGCAATCAAAATGTTCAGAACTTTTCCTCCAGCTCTTCAATGCAGAGGATGAAGAAAATCACAGCTTCTTCCAAATTCTTCCTGATTCACCCCACCCCACCCCGGGCTGGTGGTGAAAAGGAAGACCCTTTTTGCTAGCTGTGTAGTCTAGCTATGTCAACTGCTTTGTGTGCAGTTGACATTGTACTTCCTGAGTACAATGGTGGAAATGATCTTTTGTACGCTTCCACAGGGATGTGCATTGATGTTGCCCTGAATCAAATATCCAAGTGGATGTCAATATTTCCAGTTTACAGATGGATTTGCTCGTTTTGAGAGTTTGCATAATAGATAACTGATCAGTATTCAGACTGATCAAGAAAAGCAAAATGACAAGATTTCCCACCTCAAACATTTGCTTTTGCATGCTCTTCTCAGGAGAGGCCAAAAACCTAGCAGAGAGTCACTTGATAGTGACATGAGTGGCATATACATTTAATAAATAAATACATTTAAAGTTGGAATGCGTAAATAAAACTTTAAATGGGATTTGCTGTTTTGAGGGTTAGGGTGTTCCTGTAATCAAGCTCCTTTAAATGTTGCTTCCATAGATTCCATAATATATTCCGGATATTATGTGATCTTGCTAGAAACTGGGTTTGATGTAGCAATGGGCAACAGAGCTCTGAATGTTTAGGGGGGAAAAAAAGAATGGCAACAATTATCAATTAAGGATGGAACAGTAACATCAGCAAGACTCACCATCTTGAAAAGGTTGAAGAATGGCGGATTTAGAGCTAAATTGGCATGGTTAAGATCCAGTAATAACCCAAAGAAAAACATGTACTGTGATACAGAGCAGGGGTTATCAACGTTGGCAACTTTTAAGACTTGTGGACTTCAACTGGCTGAGGAACTCTGGGAGTTGAAGTCCACAAGTCTTAAAGTTGCCAAGGTTGGAGACCCCTAATATAGAGGAGATCCCAGTCTGATTCATAAGGTTCCATTACTTTGTTTCTGGGATGCTATATCTTTGCCTCTGGCTCCACTTGATGGACCTCACAATTCTATCCATCAAAAATGTGGAGTTGTGGAGTCCCTCTTTCAGAAACCTACAAGCTATCCTTTTCTCCAGATGGTTTTTCCCCTGTTCTTCAATGATCAGTTTTCCAAAAAGGCAGTTCGGAGATGGTTTGGGGCAGCATATAATGACGGCATTCCTTACTTAGTCAATTATTCTACATTTGCTTCTTTGATCAAGTGGTCAACGGGGATACCTTTGAGAGATACCTTAAGAATCTGTGATGGCTTGAGATGCAGTCAAAATAAAACAGGCTGCCACAAGAAGCAGAGCAGAAAGAGAAAACATTAGGCATCTTAATGATAATATTTATTATTTATGGAATTTGTTTATTCAGTTTATATGCTGCCCCTCTTGCCATCCAAAGTGACTCTGGATGATTAAGAGACATTAACTTC